CAACAACAACTACTACAACAACAACAAAAACTACTGCAACAACTACAACAACATCAACAACTACAGAAACTACAACTACGACTACTACTACTACTAGTAGTGGTAGTGGTGGCTGTAGTAGTGGTGGTGTTGGTGGTGTTAGTGGTAAGTGGTAGTTGTGGCGGTGGTTGTAGTGGTTGCGGCGGTGGTTGTGGCGGTGGTTGTGGTGGTAGTGGTTGTAGTGGTGGTGGTGGTGGTTGTAGTGGTGGTGGTAGTGGTGGTTGTAGTGGTAGTGGTGGTAGTGGTGGTGGTGGCGGTGGTTGTCGTGGTGGTTGTGGCGGTGGTTGTAGTGGTGGTGGTTGTAGTGGTTGTGGCGGTGGTTGTAGTGGTGGTTGTAGTGGTTGTAGTGGTGGTGGTCGTGGTGGTCGTGGCGGCGACGATCGCGGTGGTAGCGGCGGTGGTTGTGGCGGTTGTGGTTGTGTTGGTTGTGGTAGTGGTGGTTGTGGTGGTTGTGCTGGTTGCGGCTCACCTCACAGTTGTTGACATGGGTGAGTCCCACGTGAACGAGTTCTGCGAGTCGCTGGGCCAGCTCGCCCGACTTGACGTGCAGCAGGTCCCTGAGCGAGTAGAGGTGGACTCGCTCACTCAGGTGTCCTGGCTCTTCATCGAAGCGGTCCACCACTCTGACAACCACCACAACCATTAGCACAACCACCACAACCATTACCACAACCACCACAACCATTACAACCATTAACCACAACCATTACAACCACCACCACCATCAGCAGGTCCGTGAGTGAGTAGAGGTGGACTCGCTCACTCAGGTGGCCCGGCTCCTCATCGAAGCGGTCCACCACCCTGACAACCACCACCACCACCATTAGCACAACCACCACAACCACCACCACAACTACAACCACCATTACTACAACTACAACCACCACCACCATTACTACGTTGATGTTGATGGTGGTGATGGTGTTGGTGATGTTGATGGTGGTGATGGTGGTGGTGGTGATGGTGGTGATGTTGATGGTGATGGTGGTGATGTTGATGGTGGTGATGTTGATGGTGATGGTGGTGATGATGATGGTGATGGTGGTGATGGTGTTGGTGATGTTGATGGTGGTGATGGTGGGGGTGTTGATGGTGGTGATGGTGGTGGTGGTGATGGTGGTGATGTTGATGGTGGTGATGTTGATGGTGGTGATGTTGATGGTGATGGTGGTGATGATGATGGTGATGGTGGTGATGGTGGTGATGATGATGGTGGTGGTGATGGTGGTGGTGATGGTGGTGGTGATGGTGGTGATGTTGATGGTGATGTTGATGTTGATGATGGTGATGATGGTGGTGATGTTGATGATGGTGATGTTGATGGTGATGTTGATGGTGGTGATGGTGGTGATGGTGGTGGTGATGATGGTGGTGATGGTGGTGATGATGATGGTGATGGTGGTGGTGATGGTAGTGGTGATGGTGGTGGTGATGGTGGTGATGTTGATGGTGATGTTGATGATGGTGATGATGTTGATGATGGTGATGATGGTGGTGATGTTGATGATGGTGGTGATGGTGGTGATGATGTTGATGGTGATGGTGGTGATGGTGGTGATGGTGATGATGGTGGTGATGATGGTGATGGTGGTGGTGGTGATGGTGGTGATGGTGGTGGTGATGGTGGTGGTGGTGATGGTGGTGGTGGTGTTGGTGTTGTTGATGTTGGTGATGGTGGTGGTGGTGGTGATGGTGGTGATGATGGTGGTGATGGTGATGATGGTGGTGATGGTGGTGATGGTGATGGTGGTGATGGTGGTGATGATGGTGATGATGGTGGTGATGTTGATGGTGGTGGTGGTGGTGATGGTGGTGATGATGGTGGTGGTGGTGATGGTGGTGATGGTGATGGTAGTGATGGTGATGTTGATGGTGATGGTGGTGATGGTACCGTGTTGCGAGTCTGCACGTCTTCAGGAGATTCTTCATGTGGAACAGCTGCTCACGAAGATCCTAGAGAAAACATCATCAACATCACCATCAACATCACCATCACCTCCATCAACATCATTAACATCACCACCAACATCACCGTCATCACCACCATAAACATTATCACCATCAACACCATCAACATCATCAACATCATCAACAACATCATCATCACCACCATCAACATCATCAACATCATCAACACCATCAACATCATCAACAACATCATCAACAACACCATCAACATCAGCAACAACACCATCAACATCATCAACATCATCAACAACACCATCAACATCATCAACAACACCATCAACAACATCACCATCAACATCATCAGCATTATCACCATCATCAACATCACCATCAACAAAACCATCAACATCCTCTTCTTCCTGTGCGGTAGTACGGTGGTAGTGTGATAGTGTGGTGGTAGTGTGCTAGTGCGTTAGCGTGGTGGTAGTGCTAGTGCGTTAGTGCAGTGATGGTAGTGCAGCGGTAGTGCTAGTACGTTGAGCTCTGCACGTACCCGCACGACGCGCAGGGCGCGCACCCGCGCGTACAACCCGGGGTTGACCCTAGCGACGTCGCAGAGGGGGTCACCGGCGGCGCGCGTGAGCAACTCTCGTCCGTGCTCGCTGACGGGGCGCGTCGAGAAGTCCCAGCGGCGCAGGACGCGTGCCGGTAGTGCACAGCGCGACCCAACGTGGCAGCAGGCGCAGAAGTAGCCTGCCAGAGTACTCGCAGTAGCGCACACGGCCTAGGAAGCCTGGTGGGGTGGGTGGGGGGGTGGTGGGTGGGTGGGTGGTGGGGGGGGTGGGGGGGGGTGGGGGGGGTGGGGGGGGTGGGGTGGGGGGGGTGGGGGGGGTGGGGGGGTGGGGGGGTGGGGGGGGTGGGGTGGTGGGGTGGTGGGGGGGTGGGGTGGGGTGGGGTGGTGGGGTGGTGGGGTGGTGGGTGGGTGGGTGGGTGGGGGGGTGGGGTGGTGGGGTGGGTGGGTGGGTGGGGGGGGTGGTGAGTGGGGGTGAATGGGTGGTGGTGGTGGGGGGGGGTGAGTGGGGGTGGTGAGTGGGGGGGGGTGGGGGGGGGGTGGGGGTGGGGGGGGTGGTGAGTGGTGGTGAGTGCGGGAGGTGGTGGTGGGGGTGGTGGTGAGTGGGGGAGGTAGTGAGTGGTGAGTGGTGGTGGGGGTGAGTGGTGGTGGTGGTGAGTGGGGGTGGTGGTGGGGGTGAGTGGTGGTGGTGGTGAGTGGGGGTGGTGAGTGGGGGTGAGTGGTGGTGGTGAGTGGTGAGTGGTGGTGGTGAGTGAGTAGGGGTGGTGAGTGGGGGTGGTGGTGAGTGGAGGAGGTAGTGAGTGGTGAGTGGGGGAGATGGTGGTGGGGGATGTGGTAGTGGTGAGTGGGGGTGGGTGGGGTGGTGGGGGTGGTGGGGGTGAGTGGTGGTGGTGAGTGGGGGTGGGTGGGGGGGGGTGGTGAGTGGGGGTGGTGAGTGGTGGTGGTGAGTGGTGGTAAATGGGGGAAGTGGTGGTGGTGGTGGGGGAGGTGGTGGTGAGTGGTGGTGAGTGGGGGAGGTTGGTGGTGGTGGTGGTGACACGAGATTGTGGTGGTGACATGAAGTGGTGGGTGTCACAACGCACCAACTTGCACAACAACAACAGCACCGAGGCCTACACTCCCCGCTGAGCGGCGGTGTCGTCACGGCAGCGCGTGTGCCAGGCTAGGTGCACGCGACCACTCACCGGGCTCCACACTGCGGCCGCATCCTGCACAGCGGTGATGTTGACTCGTCAGGATTTCTTTCTTCCTGTCCAGAGACACGCAAACAAACACGCCCCGCGTGTCAGTGTGTGTGTACGTGCGTGTGTGTGTGTACGTGTGTGTGCGTGTGTGTACGTGTGAGTGTAGGTACGTGTGTGTGTGTACGTGTGTGTGTGTACGTACGTGCGTGTGTGTACGTGTGTGTGTGTGTACGTGTGTGTGTGTACGTGTGTGTGTATGTGTGTGTGTGTACGTACGTGTTTGTACGTACGTGTGTGTACGTACGTGAGTGTGTGTGTATGTGTGAGTGTGTGTTTGTACGTACGTATGTGAGTGTACGTGTGTGTGTGTACGTGTGTGAGTGTGTGTGTACGTACGTATTTGTACGTACGTGTGTGTATGTACGTGAGTGTGTGTGTACGTGTGAGTGTGAACGTACGTGTGTGTGTGTGTGTACGTGTGTGTGAGTGTGAGTGTACGTACGTGTGTACGTACGTGTGTGTATGTACGCGTGTGTGTGTACGTGCGAGTGTGTGTACGTGTGAGTGTGTGTACGTACGTGTGTGTACGTACGTGTGTGTGTACGTGCGTGTTTGTGTACGTACGTGTGTGTATGTATGCGTGTGTGTGTACGTGTGTGTGTACGTGTGAGTGTGTGTACGTACGTGTGTGTACGTACGTGTGTGTGTGTACGTGCGTGAGTGTGTGTACGTGTGTGTGTACGTACGTACGTGTGAGTGTGTTTGTACGTACGTGTGTGTACGTGCGTGTGTGTGTGTACGTACGTGTGAGTGTATGTGCGTGTCAGTGTGTACGTACATGTGAGTGTACGTGCGTGTGTGTGTACGTGTGTGTGTGTACGTGCGTGTGTGTACGTGTGTGTGTGTATGTGTGTGTGAGTGTGTGTGTACGTACGTGTTTGTACGTACATGTGAGTGTTTGTATGTACGTGTGTGTGTACGTGTGCATGTGTACGTGTGTGAGTGTGTGTGTGTACGTGTGAGTGTGTGTATGTACGTGTGTGTGTATGTGTGTGTGAGTGTATGTGTGTACGTACGTGAGTGTGTGTGTACGTACGTACGTGTGTACGTGCGTGCGTGTGTGTGTGTGTACGTGTGTGTGTGTACGTGTGTGTGTGTACGTGCGTGTGAGTGTGTGTGAGTACGTACGTGTGAGTGTGTGTACATGCGTGTGTGTGTATGTGTGTGTGAGTGTGTGTGTGTGTATATATGTGTATGTGTGTATGTGTGTGTAAGTGTATGTGTGTGTAAGTGTGTGTGTTTGTGCATGTGTGTACGTGTGTGTGTATATGTATGTACGTGTGTGTGTAAGTGTGTGTATGTGTGTGTGTAAGTGTGCGTGTGTGTATGTGTGTGTGTAAGTGTGTGTGTGTGTATGTGTGTGAGTACATGAGTCTGTGTGTGAAAGTGTGTGTGTGTAAGTGTAAGTGTGTATGAGTACGTGAGTGTGTATGTGTGTGTGTGTAAGTGTGTGTGTGTGAGTACGTGTGTGTGTGCATGTGTGTGTAAGTGTATGTGTGTAAGTGTGTATGTGTGTGTGTAAGTGTATGTGTGTGTGTATGTGTGTGAGTACATGAGTGTGTGTGTGTAAGTGTGTATGTGTGTGTGTAAGTGTATGTGTGTGTACGTGTGTGTAAGTGTACGTGTGTGTGTGTGTGTAAGTGTGTGTGTGTAAGTGTGTGTAAGTGTGTGTAAGTGTGTGTAAGTGTGTGTAAGTGTGTGTACGTGTGTGTACGTGTGTGTGTATGTGGGGAGCGGTAGTGTAGCGGTTAGCGCGCTGCGCTATGAACCTGGCGACCCGGGTTCGATTCCCGCTCACGGCTAACACCAGTGACGATTATCTGAACCGGTCCTGGGCCTCCCCTAGGTCGACTCAGCCTTAAATGAGTACCTGGTGCGGTGTGTAAACATCGCCACTGGGGAGACAAAGGCGGTCGGGCGTGGTGCTGGCCACTCACCCCCTTGTGTACCGTTCCGGCCTTCATAGGTGCTCGCTAACAGCACTTGCCCCTACAGTCTGTTAAGGCTATACGGGGGATCTTTGTGTATGTGTGTGTAAGTGTGTGTGTGTATGTGTGTGTGTAAGTGTATGTATGTGTGTGTAAGTGTGTGCGTGTGCGTGTACGTGTGTGTAAGTGTGTACGTGTGTATGTGTAAGTGTGTGTGTATGTATGTGTGTGTACGTGTGTGTGTACGTGTGTGTACGTGTGTGTGCGTGTGTGTGTATGTATGTGTACGTGTGGTTGGAAACATTTAGGCTGGCCTGCCTACGATCCATCCTGGGTTTAACCAGGCTGGATTGTGTGAGGAGCTCACAAATCCTTGAAAGATCTGGGCAAAGTCCCATCAGTGAGCTCCTCCGGCAGGCAAGGCTGCGTTGGCTGGGTCATGTAGCCCGCATGCCCAGCCACCGCATGCCTAAACAGCTTTTGTTCGGCCGGATCGAGGGGGCTAGACGGGCGCGGCACGGGCTGGAGAAGAGATGGAGTGATGTGGTACAGGAGGACGTGGAGCTGAGTGGACTTGCCGATGACTGGTACCAGCGGTGTCAAGATCGGCCTCAGTGGAGGCGGCTCGTGAAGGACGCTACTGGGCAGTTGGAGGCAGTCGCCCTCCAGCAACAACGGAGGGCGGAGGAGCGACGCTCACAACAACGAGCGGAGCGCCGGGTGGCAAAAGCACAGCAAGTTGGCACAGTAGGGGGCACAGGTGGCGCATCAGCCAGTCATCTCGGTCATCTCGGTCAGTCGACCCGTGGCACCTGCTGGGTCTGCCCCGTGACCTCCTGCCAGCGGGCTTTCGACACTTCACGTGGCCTCAAGGTGCACTTGGCCTGGCACAAGCATCGTGGTGACGTCACCGCCACTTAGTGGCGAATGGCGGTTGTTGTTGTTGTTGTTGTGTCATCTCACGAGAGTTTGGGGTGCATATGGAAGATGATCTGTGGAGGTGGCGGCTTCCACCCTCCGCTCTCCGCTTGTAAGTGTGTGTGTGTGTACATGTGTGTGTGTGTGTGTACGTGTGTACGTGTGTGTGTGTGTACGTGTGCGTAAGTGTGTGGGTGTGTGTCGTGGTGACGTCACCGCCACTTAGTGGCGAATGGCGGTCGTTGTTGTTGTTGCGTGTGTGTGTGCGTGTCTTCTCACGAGAGTTTGGGGTGCATGTGGAAGATGATCTGTGGAGGTGGCTGCTTCCACCCTCCACTCTCCCCTTGTAAGTGTGTGTGTGTACGTGTGTGTAAGTGTGTGTAAGTGTGTGTGTGTGTGTGTCTTCTCACGAGAGTTTGGGGTGCATGTGGAAGATGATCTGTGGAGGTGGCTGCTTCCACCCTCCACTCTCCCCTTGTAAGTGTGTGTGTGTACGTGTGTGTAAGTGTGTGTAAGTGTGTGTGTGTGTGTGTCTTCTCACGAGAGTTTGGGGTGCATGTGGAAGATGATCTGCGGAGGTGGCGGCTTCCACCCTCCGCTCTCCCCTTGCTCATCGGCAGACGTGGAGTCCAGGCACAAGGCCTAGAGACACAGACAAAGGTCCCCCGTGTAACCTCTAACAGTCAGTGGGGCAGCGAGTCAGGATGTTGACGGAGACGGGATGGTGGAATCTGGTGAGCTGTGAGGATCTTTGACGCAGATGTGCAGCGGGTTACGAGAGTGAGTGGGTCAGCGAAGAGTGTGTGGGTGTGTGCGTGAGTGAGTGTGTGGGTGTGTGAGTGAGTGAGTGTATGAGTGAGTGTGTGCGTTAGTGTGTGAGTGAGTGTGTGAGTGTGTCAGTGAGTGAGTGTGTGAGTGAGTGTGTGTGTGGGTGAGTGTGTGAGTGGGTGTGTGCGTGAGTGAGTGTGTGTGAGTGAGTGTGTGAGTGTGTGTGTGAGTGTGTGAGTGTGTGTGTGTGAGTGGTGTGAGTGTGTGAGTGAGTGTGTGAGTGTGTCAGTGAGTGTGTGTGTGTGGGTGAGTGAGTGTGTGAGTGAGTGTGTGAGTGCGTGCGTGGGTGAGTGTGTGCGTGGGTGAGTGTGTGTGGGTGTGTGCGAGAGTGTGTGAGTGAGTGTGTGAGTGAGTGTGTGAGTGAGTGTGTGAGTGTGTGCGTGGGTGAGTGTGTAATTGAGCGTATGAGTGAGTGTGTGAGTGTGTGCGTGAGTGTGTGAGTGTGTGAGTGAGTGTGTGTGTGTGGGTGAGTGTGTGCGTGAGTGTGTGAGTGAGTGTGTGAGTGAGTGTGTGAGTGAGTGTGTGAGTGTGTGAGTGAGTGTGTGAGTGTGTGTGAGTGTGTCAGTGAGTGAGTGCGTGCGTGAGTGTGTGAGTGAGTGTGTCAGTGAGTGTGTGAGTGTGTGCGTGTGTGCGTGAGTGAGTGTGTGAGCGTGTGGGTGTGTGAGTGGGTGTGTGCGTGAGTGTGTGAGTGAGTGTGTGAGTGAGTGGGTGTGTGAGTGTGTCAGTGAGTGAGTGTGTGGGTGAGTGTGTCAGTGAGTGTGTGCGTGAGTGAGTGAGTGGGTGTGTGAGTGTGTGAGTGTGTGAGTGAGCGTGTGAGAGAGCGTGTGAGCGAGTGAGTGTGTGAGTGAGCGAGAGCGAGTGAGCGAGTGTGAGTGACTGAGCGAGTGTGTGAGAGAGTGAGCGAGTCTGAGTGAGTGAGCGAGACTGAGTGTGCGGGCGAGTGAGCGAGTGTACGAGCGAGTGAGTGAGTGTGTGAATGAGTGTGCGAGTGAGTGGGCGTGTGTGAGTGAGTGTGTGAGTGAGCGAAAGTGAGTGTGTGAGCGAGCGAGAGTGAGCGTGCGAGCGAGTGGGCATGTGTGTGAGTAAGCGAGCGAGTGTGCGAGTGAGTGAGTGAGTGTGTGAATGAGTGTGCGAGTGAGTGGGCGTGTGTGTGAGCGAGCGAGTGTGAGTATGCGAGCGAGAGAGTATGTGAGTGAGCGAGTGAGCGAGCGAGTGAGTGAAGAGTGAGCGAGAATGAGTGTGCGGGCGAGCGTGGGAGCGAGTGTGCGAGCGAGCATGGGAGCGAGTGATTGTGTGAGCGAGCGAGTGGGCTTGTGAGTTAGTGTGTGAGTGTGTGAGTGAGTGGGTGTGTGCATGGTTGAGTGGGTGAGTGTGTGAGTGAGTGTGCGAGCGAGCATGGGAGCGAGTGATTGTGTGAGTGAGCGAGTGGGCTTGTGAGTGAGTGTGCGAGCGAGCGAGCTAACGAGCGAGCGTGGGAGTGAGTGTGCGAGTGAGCGAACGAGCGTCCGTGCGTGCGAGCGGAGTGAGCGTGCGAGTGAGCGAGTAGGCTTGTGAGTGAGTGTGTGAGTGAGTGTGTGCGTGAGTAAGTGTGTCAGTGTGTGAGTGTGTCAGTGAGTGAGTGTGTGAGTATGTGAGTGAGTGTGTGAGTGAGTGTGTGCGTGCGTGGGTGAGTGTGTGAGCGAGTGGGCTTGTGAGTGAGTGTGTGAGTGTGCGAGTGAGCGAGCGTGCGAGTGTGCGAGCGTCCGTGCGAGCATGCGAGCGTCCGTGCGAGCGTGCGAGCGTCCGTGCGTGCGAGCGGAGCGTTGCCCAGGCGACCCCCGGGTCACCTGCTGTCCCAGCAGCGCGTGTCCGATGCGCTGGGCCGTGGCGCCGGGTAGCCGCAGCCTCTGCAGGTGTCTCAGCAGCTGCGTGGCGACGGACCTCGCCGAGCCCCGGCTGCAGGGGAGCGGCAGCCTGCGCACCACCACAACCGAGACGGAGGGGGGCACGTGTAGCCTCCTGGGGGCAAGGGCTGCTCGCTAGTGGAGCGATGCACAGAGACAGCTGCCGCTGGGGGTGCCCCTAGGCGAGACCCACACCGCAGCAACCATCGCAACCACCAACCCACTCACCCCCCTCCTCTACAGGCAGCGGACCGGGCAGTGCAGTTTCCTCTTCCGAAAAGATGATGGTGGTGGTGGTGGCGATGATGATGGTGGTGGTGGTGGCGATGATGATGGTGGTGGTGGTGGCGATGATGATGGTCTTGATGACGGTGGTGATGGAGGTGGTGATAGTGGTGGCAGAGGTGGTGATGGTGGTGATGGTGATGGCGATGATGATGGTGGTGGCGATGATAATGGTGGTGGTGGCGATGGTGATGGTGATGATGGCGGTGATGGCGCTGGTGATGGCGGTGATGGCGATGATGGTGATGCTGGTGATGGTGGTGATGGTGGTGATGGCGATGGTGATGGCGGTGTTCAGTACTCACATAGCCAAGAGGTCGGGTCCTGACATCACGCGACTCCGTGGGCCTGCCCAAAACGACACGCGTGGCACACACGTGACACACACGTGACACACACGTGACACACACGTGACACACACGCGGCACACGCGTGACACACGCGTGACACACACGTGACACACGCGTGACACACGCGTGACACACACGTGACACACACGCGACACACGCGCTGCTACTTCTGCTGCTGACAACGATGCTGGTGATGGTGATGATGACAGCTGCTGACAATGACATCGATAATGATGCCGATGATGGTGATGATGATGGTGATGATGATGGTGATGATGGTGATGATGATGGTGATGATGATGGTGATGATGGTGATGATGCTGATGATGATGGTGATGATGGTGATGATGCTGATGATGATGGTGATGATGATGGTGATGATGATGGTGATGATGGTGATGATGATGGTGATGATGATGGTGATGATGGTGATGATGCTGATGATGATGGTGATGATGATGGTGATGATGGTGATGATGGTGATGATGGTGATGATGATGGTGATGATGGTGATGATGGTGATGATGGTGATGATGATGATGATGCTGATGATGGTGATGATGATGATGACGATGATGCTGATGATGGTGATGATGTCGATGATGATGCTGATGATGGTGATGATGATGACGATGATGGTGATGATGATGATGATGCTGATGATGGTGATGATGATGATGACGATGATGCTGATGATGGTGATGATGTCGATGATGATGCTGATGATGGTGATGATGATGACGATGATGGTGATGATGATGATGACGATGACACCGATAATGATGCTGATGATGGTGATGATACCGATGATGGTGATGATGACGATGATGGTGATGCTGATGATGACGATGACACCGATTATGATGCTGATGATGGTGATGATGACGATGACGACGATGATGACGACGACACTCACTTGCATTTGAATGAGCGTCCAGCCCATCCACAACCTCCTCCTCCTCCTCTTCCTCCTCCACCTCCTCATCCTCCTCATCATCGTCCTCCTCGTCCTCCACGTCATCGTAGTCGTCCACCGCCTCTCCCGTGCGCCCCGGCTCCACGTCGCCCTCCGCAGAGCTGCACTTGATGAGTTCGATCACCGCCATGAGAGCGTCCGACAGTGAAAAGTGGGCGTTCTCCTGCGGGCAGAGAGGGGGCCGGTGATGGCATCACGTGAGATCATCGCCACCACCACCGCCACCATCATCATCATCGCCGCCGCCACCGCCACCATCACCACCGCCACCACCACCGTCACCACCACCATCACCACCACCACCACCACCACCGCCACCACCACCGTCACCACCACCACCACCACCGCCACCACCACCGCCACCACCACCACCACCGCCACCACCACCGCCACCACCACCACCACCACCGCCACCACCACCGCCACCACCACCAGACCTGACCTTGTCGAGGTCGGCGCAGCTCCCATGATGCTGTGCGGCGAGGATGTCCAGGAGCTCGTGAGTGCGGTCCAATGGCGGCTTCACCACTGTCAACATCATCATCATCACCATCATCATCACTGTCAACATCACCATCATCATCACTGTCAACATCACCATCAGCAACATCATCAGCATCACCATCATCACTGTCAACATCACCATCAGCAACATCATCAGCATCAGCATCACCACTGTCAACATCACCATCAGCAACATCATCAGCATCACCATCAGCATCACCGAAAGAACCAAGAAGATTAATCCCTGCAGTCACGAAAGCTTTAAATCGAAAAAAAAATCATCAGCATCACCATCAGCATCACCATCAGCATCATCAGCATCACCATCAGCATCACCATTAGCATCACCACTGTCAACATCACCATCAGCAACATCACCATCACCACTGTCAACATCACCATCATCACCATCAGCATCACCATCAGCATCACCATCAGAATCATCATCATCACCATCAGCATCACCATCAGCATCACCATCAGCATCACCATCATCACCATCAGCATCACCATCATCACCATCATCACCATCAGCATAATCCACATCATCACCATCATCACCATCGGCATCATCATCACCATCGGCATCATCACCATCATCATCATCACCATCATCACCATCACCATCATCACCATCACCATCATCACCATCATCACCATCATCATCATCACCATCAGCATCATCACCATCATCATCACTATCAGCATCATCATCATCATCACTATCAGCATCATCACCATCATGACCATCATCATCATCACCATCATCACCATCATCACCATCATCACCATCACCATCATCACCATCATCAGCATCATCATCGTCACCATCATCATCACCATCATCACCATCATCACCATCACCAACATCACCATCATCACCATCATCACCATCATCACCATCACCATCATCACCATCATCACCAGCATCATCACCACCAGCATCATCAACACCATCATCACCATCATCAGCATCATCACCATCATCACCATCATCACCACCATCACCATCATCATCACCACCATCATCACCATCACCATCATCACCATCATCATCACCACCATCACCATCATCACCATCATCATCACCATCATCACCATCATCGTTAGCGAGCGGACGTCCGACCCCGTGACACTCACCGGCGATGACTGTGTCCGACCGAGAGCGCACGTGCCTCGACCTCCCGTGCCTGGTCCTCCCCTCCACGGATGTCTGCTGCCCGCGGTAGCTGGTGGTGGTGGCGTTGGTTGTGGCGGTTGTTGCGGTGGTGGCGGCGGTTGTGGCGGCGGCGTTGGTTGTGGCGGTGGCGGTGGTTGACCCGCTGCTGCTGCTACCGCTGGCGGCGTTGGTTGTGGCGATGCAGAAGTTGTTGTTGTTGTTGGCAGGGTTGTTGGTGACGGCTGCGGTTGTGGCGGGCTGCTTGGAGCTGCCGCTGGGTCTGTTACCGCCAGCGTTAGCGGTGACGGTGACGGTGACGGCGGTGGAGGTTTGCATGAGGCTGTGTCTGCGTGGCGAAGGGCTGGCTACGGGAGCCCGCAGGGACATGAGGCTATGGCTCTTGGGCAAATGCGAGGACCAGGTTGCGTGAGCTCCGACCTTGACACGCGCGCAAACACACCGGGACAAAGTCGGTGGCCGTAGCCTCTCAAGGGGGCGGGGGGGGGGGCAAGGGTTCATATTGTGAGGTTTTTTTTCGGTAAAGTCACGTAGGTAAAAAAAGTTAAATTAATAAAATAAAAAGAAAATTAAATAAAAACAGCGTGCTTTCAGCCGCACCGAACCTCACAAAAATAATATTCAAGGCCTACCTTGGCTCCTCCCACCCTCAACCAGTATATATAACAAGTAAACCCGTAAAAACTAAGTTTTTCACTATAAATCCTTTATATGCGTGGCATCGGGGCGGCTAGAGTCCTCTCGTCCTCTGGCTTGAGATGGCTGCCACCTATGGGTCAGATGACTGTCTGGCAGCATTAAACAATTGGTAATTAAATATTTTTAAAAAATTCCCTAAACAGTGTAAAATTTGGGAAATTTTTTTCATGAAAATGCATTGTCACGCACAACGAGTCTTGTGTGCAAAATGTCAGCTCGGTTGGATCACGGGAAGTGGGTTAAAAAACGACCAAAAGATTTGCACGGTCCTAAGCAAGCAAGCGAACTTAATATAAAGGATTTAAAAATTTACCCGTAAAAACAAAGTTTTTCACTCTAAATCCTTTATATGCGTGGCGGCTAGAATCCTCTCGTCCTCTGGCTTGAGATGGCTGCCACCTATGGGTCAGATGATTGTCTGCCAGCATTAAGCAATTGGTAATTAAATATTTAAAAATTTTTCCCTAAACCGTGTAAAATTTTGGAAAAAATTTTTCACGAAAATAAATTGTCAAGCACAACGAGTCTGTGTGGAAAATGTCAGCTCGATTGGATCACGGGAAGTGGGTTAAAAAACGACCGAAAGGTTTGCACGGTCGTAAGCAAGCAAGCAAGCACGCAAGCACGCAAGCAAGCAAGCAAACTTAATATAAAAGATTTAAAAATACGGGTTTCTTGGAATTTCTCTCACTTGATACAGCTATCGTGCTGTGACTGTTCCACCTGAATACGGAGGCTTGTGTTGCCTCCGAAACGTCGTGATTTTTATTTTATTTTTATTTTACTTTTATTAATTTTAATTTTTTACCAACGTGACTTTACCGAAAAAACCTAAGAATATGAATCCTTGCAGTCACGAAAGCTTCAAATCTGGGGCAAGGGCTGTTCGCGAGTAACAGCAGCGGCAGCCGCACCTACGAAGGGGAGTGGTGAGTGGTGAGTGAGTGGGTGAGTGAGTGGGTGAGTGAGCGGGTGAGTGAGCGGGTGAGTGGGTGGGCGAGTGAACGAGTGAGTAGTGAGTGAGTGTTGAGTGAGTGGTGAGTGGCGAGTGAGTGGTGAGTGAGTGGTGAGTGAGTGGGTGAGTGAGGGGTGAGTGAGTGAGCGAGTGAGTGGGCGGGCAAGGGAGTGGTTGAGTGAGTGGACGAGTGAGCGGGTAAGTGAGTGGGTGAATGAGCGGGTGAGTGTTGAGCGAGTGGTGGTGAGCGAGTGGTGAGGAGTGGTGAGCGAGCTCACCGTGGCGGGGTCGATCATGGCGAGCTGCCCCGGGTTGTTGTCCTCCAGCGCCCCCAGGCACAGCAACATGGCCGTCACGTGCCGCACACTCCGGGCAAACGCGTGCTCTGGGGTCAACGTGAAGGTCGCAGGGCGTGACCTCTAACACCACGTGGGGTCAAAGTTCGCACGGTGTGGCCTCTAACACCACGTGGGGTCAAAGCGAAGGTCACACGGCGTGACCTCTAACCCCACGTGAGGTCAACGTGAGGGTCGCACGGCGTGACCTCTAACACCACGTGGGGTCAACGTGAAGGTCGCACGGCGTGACCTCTAACCCCACGTGAGGTCAACGTGAAGGTCGCACGGCGTGACCTCTAACACCACATGGGGTCAACGTGAAGGTCACCCGGCGTGACCTCTAACAGCAGCATTTGTCTCCCCAGTGGCGATGTTCACTACACACCGCTACACCAGGTACTCATTTGAGGCTGAGTCGACCTAGTGGGAGGCCCAGGACCGGTTCAGATAATGGTCACCGGTGTTGGCTGTGAGCGGGAATCGAACACGAGTCGCCAGGTTCGTAGCGCAGCGCGATAACCGCTGCACCACCGCTCCCCACACACACACAGACACATGCTTACACACACACACACACGCGCGCTTACACACACACACACACGCTTACACACACACACGTACTTACACACACACATGCTTACACACACATGCTTACACACACATGTTACACACACACACACGCGCGTGCTTACACACACACACACATGCTTACACACACACACACACGCGCGCTTACACACACACACACACACACGCGCTTACACACACACACGTGCTTACACACACACATGCATACACACACACGCGCTTACACACACACACGCTTACACACACACACGCGCTTACGCATACACACACACACATGCTTACACACACACACACGTGCTTACACACACAAACGCTTACACACACACACACACACGCTTACACACACACACGTGCTTACACACACACATGCTTACACACACACGCACTTACACACACACACGCTTACACACACATGCACTTACACACACACACGCTTACACACACACGCACTTACACACACACACGCTTACACACACACACACTTACACACACACACGCTTACACACACACGCACTTACACACACTCGTGCTTACACACACACGTGCTTACACACACACGTGCTTACACACACGCGCTTACACACACACACACGCTTACACACACACACGTGCTTACACACATGCACTTACACACACATGCGTGCTTACACACACACGTGCTTACACACACAAACGCTTACACACACACACACACACGCTTACACACACACACACACGTGCTTACACACACACACGTACTTACACACACGCTTACACACACACATGCTTACACACACACACACACTCACACACACACACACGTACTTACACACACACACACTTACACACACGTGCGTGTGCGTGTGTACCTGCGTAGAGACTGGCCACGGGGTGCGGCTGCAGCAGCAGCGGGTGCAGCAGGCGTGACAGCGCCAGCGAGCGCAGCGCCTGGCCCAGCCAGCGCAGCGCCAGCTCCTCGCTCGCGTCACCAGAGCCACGCGCTACGGCCTCCAACTCCTCCTCCTGCTCGTGCACACACACACACACACAGACACACAGACACACAGATACACACACACAGATATACACACACACACAGATACACACACAGACACAGATATACACACACACACAGATACACACACAGACACAGATATACACACACACACAGATACACACACAGACACAGATATACACACACACACAGATACACACACAGACACACGCACATATATACACACAGATACACACACAGACACACAGACACACACACACAGACACACAGACACACAGATATACACACACAGACACACACACACAGACATACACACACACACAGATATACACACACACACACAGATATACACACACAGACACAGATATACACACACACACAGATACACACACAGACACACGCACATATATACACACAGATACACACACAGACACACAGACACACACACACACACACAGACACACAGACACACAGATATACACACACAGACACACACACACAGATATACACACACACACACAGATATACACACACACACAGATATACACACACAGACACAGATATACACACACACACAGATACACACACAGACACACGCACATATATACACACAGATACACACACAGACACACACACAGACACACACACAGACACACGCAAAGACATACACACAGATATACACACAGACACACAGACACACACACAGACACACACACACAGACACACAGATACACACACACACAGACACACACAGACACACACACAGACACACACACGCACAGACACACGCACAGACACACACACACACAGACACACACACACACAGACACACGACACACACACACACAGACACACACACACACAGACACACACACAGACACACACACAGACACACACAAAGACAAAGGTCCCCTGTGTAGCCCACACCTTCGAAAAATACGTGCACACATGTAGACAAACGCGTGTGTGTGGGTGCATGTTTGTGTTTGCGTGCGAGTGTGCGTGTGTATGCGCGTGTGTGTGTGCGTGCGAGTGCGTGCGTGTGTGTGTGTAGTGTGGTGTGTGTGTGCGTGTAGTGTGATGTGTGTGCGTGTGTGTAGTGTGGTGTGTGTGTGTGCGTGTGTGTAGTGTGGCGTGCGAGTGCGTGTGTGCGTGTGTGTATGTCTGTGTGCGTGTGTGCGTGTGTGTGTGTGTGTACGTGTGTGTGTACGTGTGTGTGTGCGGTGCACGTGTGTGTGTGTGCGGTGGACGTGTGTGTGTGCGTGTATGCGTGTGTGTGTGCGTGTCTGAGTGTGTGTGTGAGTATGTGAGTGTCAATGTGCGTGTGTGTGTGTGGTGTGTGTGTGTGCGTGTGAGTGTGTGTGTGCGTGTGTGTAGGTGTGTGTGTGTGTATATGTGTGTGCGTGTGTGCTGTGTGTATCTGTGTGTGTGTGTGTCTGAGTGTGTGTGCGTGTGTGTGTGCGTGTGTGTCTGTGTGTGTAAGTGTGTCTGTATGTGTGTCTGTGTGTGCGTGTGTGCTGTGTGTATCTGTGTGTGTGTGTGCGTGCGAGGCCTGTTGTGCGTGTGAAGCCTTGTACTTGCCTGAGCGTCGATCGGCGAGAAATCCGGGCAAAGTCGCTCCAGAGTCCTGAGTAGCTCCAGGTACCCGGCCTGCAACCACCACAACCACCACCACAACCACCACCACAACCACCACAACCACCATCACAACCACCACCACAACCACCACAACCAACATCACAACAACCACCACCATCACCACCACCACCATCACAACCACCACAACCACCACCACAACCACCACCACAACCACCACAACCACCATCACAACCACCATCACAACCACCACAACCAACATCACAACAACCACCACCATCACTACCACCACCACCATCACAACCACCACAACCACCACCACAACCACCGCCACCACCACCATCACAACCACCACAACCACCACAACCACCATCACAACCATGGTGATGATGTTGAGTGATGTTGGTGATGTTGAGTGATGATGTTGAGTGATGATGTTGAGTGATGATGGTGAGTGATGCCATCACCTGCGGGTCTCGCAGCCCGTGTCCCAGCATGCCGTGCAGGATGTCCCCGACGCGCCCCGGGCCCCAGGCCGCTAGGCCCGTGTGATGTTGGTGATGATGATGTTGATGTTGTTGAGTGATGATGTTGAGTGATGTTGGTGACGTTGCCATCACCTGTGGGTGTCGCAGGATGGCGTGGAGGATGTCGGTGATGTTGGGTGATGATGGTGAGTGATGCCATCACCTGCGGGTCTCGCAGCCCGTGTCCCAGCATGCCGTGCAGGATGTCCCCGACGCGCCCCGGGCCCCAGGCCGCTAGTCCTGTGCCGGGCCCCGCGGCCACCAGCAGCAGCAGGCGGCCCACGGCCGCAGACAGGCGGCTCAGCAGGGCGCAGCACTGCATTCTGGGAGGGGGCACGCACACAGATAAAGGGCCCCCGTGTAGCCTCTAACGGGCTGCAGCGGCAAGTTCTGTGAGTAGTGAGTAGCAGCAGCACCTGTGAAGGTAAACACAGATAAAGCTCCCCCGTGTAGCCTCTAACAGGCTGCAGGGGCAAGTGCTATTAGCGAGTAGTAGAGTCTATAGACACAGACAAAGGCCCCCCGTGTAGCCTCTATCAGGCTATAGGGGCAAGTGCTGTTAGCGTGTAGCAGTCTATAGACACAGACAAAGCTCCCCCATGTAGCCTCTAACAGACTGCAGGGGCAAGTGCTGTTAGCGTGTAGCAGTCTATAGAAACACAGATAAAGCTCCCCCGTGTAGCCTCTAACAGACTGCAGGGGCAAGTGCTGTTAGCGTGTAGCAGTCTATAGACACAGATAAAGCTCCCCCGTGTAGCCTCTAACAGACTGCAGGGGCAAGTGCTGTTAGCGAGTAGCAGAGTCTATAGAGACACAGACAAAGCTCCCCCGTGTAGCCTCAACGGGCTGTAGGGGCAAGTGCTGTTAGCGAGTAGCAGCAGTCTATAGACACAGACAAAGCTCCCCCATGTAGCCTCTATCAGGCTATAGGGGCAAGTGCTGTGAAGGCTACCGGCACTGTAGGGACACAATCGATGTTCACTCCACTGTACAAGGCTACACATTTGAGGCTGAGTCGACCTAGGAGTCTCACGTAATAATCATCGTTTGTGGAATTTTTTTTCTCGTTGTTTTGATTTTTATTTTTAAAAGCAATCATCGTGAGTCTAATAAGCCACGAGGTTTATAACGTAATTGTTAACAAGACGCGAGTTTTTAATATAATATAATATAAACGTTCTTATAAGAATAGCGTTAAGGTAGCGTAGGCAAAACCCCTAATTAACTCCCCCTCACCTATATACGCACTTAAGCAGCATGATTTAATAATAATAACGATGATGATGATAATAATTACGTTTGTAGATATTACCAGCTCGATTAGCGATTTAAACAATTTGGTAAATGACGCCGAGGCCTAACCCCGTGAGGAGGCACCGGCCTCGCCTAGTTTCTCTACCGCCCGACACGCGCCTCGCCCGGCAGGGAGGGGGTGTGGAAGAGGGGGGTCGTACCGGGGGTCACCGTCGTCCATTGCGAGGGGGAAAAAAACGACCAAAATAAATTACATTTTAGCGCGATGACTATCGCTCCATCTGCCGCGTCGTTCATTTAAAACTTCGCTTCTTCATGTTTAATTTTTTTAAAGATTTTAGTTATTTTGTGGTGATGATGGTTGTGGTGGTTTAAGTAGACGTCGTTTCCTGGTCTCACAACCTTCCCGGCTCAGGCAGAAGCAATCGATTGCGGAGTCTGAGATCGATCGCAGGCGATGGAGGTCGATAGCGGCGATAGAGATCGATAGCGGCGTCTACTCGGTAGTCGATTGCACGGGGCTGATCGTGTGTGTCTGTGTGTGTAGTGTGTGTAGTGTGTGGTGTGTGTGTGTGGTGTGTGTGTGGTGTGTGTGGTGTAATGTGTGTGTGTAGTGTGTGTGTTGTGTGTGTGTGGTGTGTGTGTAGTGTGTGTGGTGTGTGTGTGTGGTGTGTGTGTGTGGTGTGTGTGTGTGTAGTGTGTGTGTGGTGTGTAGTGTGTGTGTGTGGTGTGTGTATGGGGGTTGTGTGTGGTGTGTGTGTATTGTGTGTGTGGTGTGTGCATTGTGTGTGTGTAGCGTGTGGTGTGTGTGTAGGGTGTGTGTGTTGTGTGTAGTGTGTGTGTGGTGTGTGTGTGTGGTGTGTGTGTTGTAGTGTATGCGTGTGTGTGTGGTGTAAAGTGTGTGTATGTATTGTGTGTGGTGTGTGTATTGTGTGTAGTGTGTGTGTGTGGTGTGTGTGTGGTGTAGAGTGTGTGTATGTATTGTGTGTGGTCTGTGTATTGTGTGTAGTGTGTGTGTGTAGTGTGTGGTGTGTGTGTAGTGTGTGGTGTGTGTGGTGTGTGTAGTGTGTGGTGTGTGTAGTGTGTGGTGTGTAGTGTATGTGTGTGTGGTGTGTGTGTGGTGTGTGTGTGGTGTGGTGTGTGTGTGGTGTGTGTAATGTGTGTGGTGTGTGTGTAGTGTGTGTGTGGTGTGTGTGTAGTGTGTGTGTGTAGTGTGTGTGTGTAGTGTGTGTAGTGTGTGTAGTGTGTGTGTAATGTGTGGTGTGTGTAGTGTGTGTGTGTAGTGTGTCTGGTGTGTGTGTGGTGTGTGTAGTGTGTGTGTGGTGTGTGTGTGGTGTGTGTAGTGTGTGTGTAGTGTGTGGTGTGTGTGTGGTGTGTGTGTAGTGTGTGTGTGTAGTGTGTGTGGTGTGTGCAGTGTGTGTGGTGTGTGTGTGTAGTGTGTGTGGTGTGTGTGTGTGTGGTGTGTGTGTGGTGTGTGTAGTGTGTGGTGTGTGTGTGGTGTGTGTGTAGTGTGTGTGTGTAGTGTGTGTGGTGTGTGCAGTGTGTGTGGTGTGTGTGGTGTGTGTAATGTGTGTGGTGTGTGTGGTGTGTGTGTGTGGTGTGTGGGGTAGTGTGTATGTAGTGTGTGTGGTGTGTGTATTGTGTGTAGAGTGTATGTGTAGTGTGTGGTGTGTGTGTTGTGTGTGTTGTGTGTGTAGGGTGTGTGTAGTGGGTGTGTGTAGTGTGTGTGGTGTGTGTGTAGCGTGTGGTGTGTGTGTAGGGTGTGTGTGTTGTGTGTAGTGAGGTGTGTGTGGTGTGTGTGTAGTGTGTCTGTGTGTGGTATGTGTGGTGTGTAGTGTGTGTGTGTGTGGTGTGTGTGTGTGTGGTGTGTGTGTGTGGTATGTGTGTGTAGTGTGTGTGTGTGGTATGTGTGGTGTGTAGTGTGTGTGGTGTGTGTGGTGTGTGTGGTGTGTGTGGTGTGTGTGGTGTGTGTAGTGTGTGTAGTGTGTGTGTGTGTGTGGTGTGTGTAGTGTGTGTGTGTGGTCTGTGTGTGGTGTGTGTGGTGTGTGTGTCTGTGTGTGTGTGGTGTGCGTGTGTGTAGTGTGTGTAATGTGTGTGTTGTGTGTGTTGTATGTGTGGTGTGTGTAGTGTGTGGTGTGTGTGTGTAGTGTGTGGTGTGTGTGTAGTGTGTACGTGTAGAGTGTTTGTGTAGTGTGTGTATGTAGTGTGTGTAGTGTGTGTGTAGTGTAGTGTGTGTAGTGTGTGTGGAGTGTGTGTGGTGTGTGTGTAGTGCGTGGTGTGTATGGGTGTAGTGTGTGTGTGTAGTGTGTGCGTCTGTGTGTGTGGTGTGTGTGTAGTTAGTGTGTTGTGTGTAGTGTCTGTGTGGTGTGTGTGTAGTTTGTGTGTGTGTGTGTAGTGTGTGTGTGGTGTGTATTGTTTGTGTAGTGTGTGTGTGTGTAGTGTGTGTGTGTAGTGTGTGTGTGTAGTGTGTGTGTGTATTGTGTGTGGTGTATTGTGTCTGCTGACAGCGGCTGTGTCAGGGGGTTTCTAATTGCCGTGTCAGGCGATTCTCACAATTGCCGTGTCAGGCTGTCCCCAATGGCTGTGTCAGGGGGCTCACAATGACCGTGTCGGTATTTGCCGTCTCTCGCAGAGAGAACGAATGGCAAGGCATCATCATCAGCATCATCAGCATAATCATCATCAGCATCATCAGCATCATCATCATCATCAGCATCAGCATCATCAGCATCATCATCAGCATCAGCAGCATCAGCATCATCAGCATCATCATCAGCATCATCAACATCATCACCATCAGCATCATCACCATCAGCATCATCATCATCATCACCAGCAGCATCAGCATCATCAGCATCATCAGCATCATCACCATCAGCATCATCATCAGCATCATCATCATCAGCATCATAATCATCATCAGCATCATCACCAGCAGCATCATCATCACCATCAGCATCATCATCATCAGGCCGGCGAACTGCCGGTAGCGCTACAAACAATTCCCACGTTCTGCGGTCCTCTACGTATGAAGATGGTGGTGGTGGTGGGTGAGGCTGGGTGGGGGGTGTTGTCTGCCAATGTAACGATCGTCTCTACGCGTTGCAGGACATCGCTAAATCCACAATCAAGGATATTTCTAGATTTGAAGCTTTCGTGACTGCAAGGATTCATATTCTTATGTATTTTTCGGTAAAGTCACGTAGGTAAAAAAATTAATAAAAGTAAAATAAAAATAAAATAAAAATCACGACGTTTCGGAGGCAAAACAAGCTTCCGTCTTCAGGTGGAACAGTCAGTTTTATTAATTTTATTTTTTTACCTACGTGACTTTACCGAAAAAAACTAAGATAATGAATCAGGATCTTGACCCAAGACGCGCAGGAAGGAATCCGATGATCTTGCGAAGTTATTTCTGGTTCGTTTCCTTCATCCCACAGACGTCCAGCAATTCCACACAGCACATGGGACAGGTGGAAGGCTGCTGCTGCTGCTGCAGATGGGACAGGTGGAAGGCTACTGCTGCTGCTGCAGATGGGACAGGTGGAAGGCTGCTGCTGCTGCAGATGGGACAGGTGGAAGGCTACTGCTGCTGCAGATGGGACAGGTGGAAGGCTACTGCTGCTGCTGCTGCTGCACATGGGACAGGTGGAAGGCTGCTGCTGCTGCTGCAGATGGGACAGGTGGAAGGCTACTGCTGCTGCTGCTGCAGCAGATGGGACAAGTGGAAGGCTACTACTGCTGCTGCAGATGGGACAGGTGGAAGGCTGCTGCTGCTGCAGATGGGACAGGTGGAAGGCTGCTGCTTCTGCAGATGGGACAGGTGGAAGGCTGCTGCTGCTGCTGCTGCAGATGGGACAGGTGGAAGGCTACTGCTGCTGCTGCTGCTGCAGATGGGACAGGTGGAAGACTGTTGCTGCTGCTGCTGCTGCTGCTGCAGATGGGACAGGTGGAAGGCTACTGCTGCTGCTGCTGCTGCAGATGGAACAGGTGGAAGGCTACTGCTGCTGCTGCAGATGCAGATCGGACAGGTGGAAGGCTACTGCTGCTGCTGCTGCTGCTGCAGATGGGACAGGTGGAAGGCTGCTGCTGCTGCAGATGGGACAGGTGGAAGGCTACTGCTGCTGCTGCAGATGGGACAGGTGGAAGGCTGCTACTGCTGCTGCTGCAGCAGATGGAACAGGTGGAAGGCTACTGCTGCTGCTGCTGCAGATGGGACAGGTGGAAGGCTGCTACTGCTGCTGCTGCAGATGGAACAGGTGGAAGGCTACTGCTGCTGCTGCTGCAGATGGGACAGGTGGAAGGCTGCTACTGCTGCTGCTGCAGCAGATGGAACAGGTGGAAGGCTACTGCTGCTGCTGCTGCAGATGGGACAAGTGGAAGGCTGCTGCTGCTGCTGATGGAACAGGTGGAAGGCTGCTGCTGCTGCAGATGGGACAGGTGCAAGGCTGCTGCTGCTGCTGCAGATGGGACAAGTGGAAGGCTACTGCTGCTGCTGCTGCAGATGGGACAGGTGGAAGGCTGCTGCTGCTGCTGATGCAGATGGGACAGGTGGAAGGCTACTGCTGCTGCTGCTGCAGCAGATGGGACAAGTGGAAGGCTACTGCTGCTGCTGCAGATGGAACAGGTGGAAGGCTGCTGCTGCTGCTGCTGCTGCAGATGGGACAGGTGGAAGGCTACTGCTGCTGCTGCAGATGGAACAGGTGGAAGGCTACTGCTGCTGCTGCAGATGGAACAGGTGGAAGGCTGCTGCTGCTGCTGCAGATGGGACAGGTGGAAGGCTGTTGCTGCTGCTGCAGATGGGACAGGTGGAAGGCTGCTGCTGCTGCTGCAGATGGGACAGGTGGAAGGCTACTGCTGCTGCTGCTGCTGCAGATGGGACAGGTGGAAGGCTACTGCTGCTGCTGCTGCAGATGGGACAGGTGGAAGGCTACTGCTGCTGCTGCTGCTGCAGATGGGACAGGTGGAAGGCTACTGCTGCTGCTGCTGCAGATGGGACAGGTGGAAGGCTACTGCTGCTGCTGCAGATGGAACAGGTGGAAGGCTACTGCTGCTGCTGCAGATGCAGATCGGACAGATGGAAGGCTGCTGCTGCTGCTGCAGATGGGACAGGTGGAAGGCTGCTGCTGCTGCTGCTGCAGATGGGACAGGTGGAAGGCTGCTGCTGCTGCAGATGGGACAGGTGGAAGGCTACTGCTGCTGCTGCTGCAGATGGAACAGGTGGAAGGCTACTGCTGCTGCTGCTGCAGATGGGACAGGTGGAAGGCTACTGCTGCTGCTGCTGCAGATGGAACAGGTGGAAGGCTACTGCTGCTGCTGCAGCAGATGGAACAGGTGGAAGGCTACTGCTGCTGCTGCTTCTGCAGATGGGACAAGTGGAAGGCTGCTGCTGCTGCTGCTGATGGAACAGGTGGAAGGCTACTGCTGCTGCTGCTGCA